TACAATTTAAATAGAAATAAAACACAATCTACAGGACAAACATTAAATAAGGAGGTTATATTTCTGTTTCATGCCGTTTTAATGTGGCTTACATTCTTCCAAGGGGTCTGGATCATTAAGATGGAGCAAGTTTAACAAATTATTCTAAGTTCAAGTAAGAGAAAGCTTTTTACCAGCTCAGTGAAAACCCTCAGAACCATGTAAGAGCGCCGCCTGGTGGAACGAAGGTTTAGACTGCTGTCAGAGTTCTGCTTCAGGAGAAAATATACATAAATATTGTCTGTGTAGATTCAGTGGCTGAATAATAAAGTACAATGAGGAATACAGGAACCAGAGTCTGTTAGACAATGTAGAGCACCGTGGTAGAAGAAATAGGCAGCATGAAGACAACAACGACATAGTCCCACCGAGGTTTGTTGGCCCCGTATACACTCTCTAATCGAGTGTGTGTGTGTGTGTGTGTGTGTGTGTGTTTCAGCACATCATGACGGAGCCTGACGAGATCACCACGATGTCCGGTCAGAAGCTTCCTCTGAAGATGTCCGTCGACTACATTTCCTTCTCTGCTCACACCGACTACCAGCAGACCAGCGAGTTCATCAGAGCGCTCAAACCTCCTCACGTGGTAAACAATAACAACATCAACAACATCAACATCAGCGATAGATAGATGACTGATTGGAATTGATTATCTGAGATAATCAGAATCAGCTGATGTCTGCAGACAGACTCCTCAGTGTTTTTTGCTCTGTAACGATGTTGGCGTTCTGTTAGTTTAGAGCTGCGTACAATAACTCTCATACATTTCCACCATCGTCCTCTCTAAATGTTTTCTCATTATATTATAATAATGCAGTTAAATGACGTCTCTTCTTTTACTGTCCCCCGCTCTTCCTTAAATACCACAATCTGAAATCTACAGCTTAAAACTATATTTTCTGTTTAATTAATTAATAAAAATTCCATCCAGAACAACAAGTTACTAAGATAACCATGTTTATTAGATTGTGAATGAAATAATGGAATTATACAGGACTTTTTATATCAGCATTATATATCTGTATCAGTTAATCACAAACACACAAGTAAGAACTATACCAGAAGATACCAGTTAAAATGTTGAATGTTTTTAAGGAACAAGGTCACAATTAAACCGTCCACTTAGTCTAAAGAAGACAAACTCATATTATCCTTAAATAAACAGTTTAATATATTGTGACTGTGGATTGTGTCTCACATCACTGGAGGAATGATTGAAGAGAGTACATGTGAGCAGCTCGACTGTTTTAAGACTTTTTAGGGCTGAAACTAACGATTACTTTTTCATTCATTATCAATAATGAATAAGTTATTTATGAATAAATAATCTCCAGATTGTTTTCTCAATTAGTCGTCGTTTGGTCTCTAAAATGTCAGGATGTCTTTTAAAGTTTCAGTTCAGAACCCAAAGATATTCAGTTTAATATGATATAAAACGGACAAAAGCAATAAATCTCCGTATTTAAGACGCTGAAACATTTTCTTCCGTTTATTAATTAAAAATGACTTTAACAGTTAATCAGTTGTTGTTGGTTGTTGCAGCTCTAATCAGAACTAGATGACCATCAGTCATCTTTACTTTTGTTGTTGTGTCTCCAGATTCTGGTCCACGGCGAGCAGAACGAGATGGCCCGTCTGAAAGCGGCTCTGATCCGCGAGTACGAAGACAACGACGAGGTCGACATCGAGGTCCACAACCCGCGAAACACGGAGGCCGTCACGCTCAACTTCAGAGGAGAGAAACTGGCGAAGGTTGGTCTGAAACTCTGAGGTCAGTTTTATTGTGCTGCTCTCTCTCTGCGCCGTACGGCCCCGTTAACTCCCAGCATGCTCTGCTGCAGGTGATGGGCTCTCTGACTGACAAGAAGTGTGTTCAGGGTCAGAGGGTCTCCGGGATCCTCATCAAAAGAAACTTCAACTATCACATCGTGACGCCCTCCGACCTCTCCAGTCAGTAACGCCCTCTGTGTGTGTGTGCTTGTATGTGTATCTTTGTGGGGACTGTGTGGTAAACCATCTTAATAAGAACAATTCTGCCTTATGAGGACATTTTGGGGTTTATGTATTAATCACTAGCAATTACTCCAAAGCTTGTGGAATATAATCTGATATTGTAGTTTTTAGAATTGCCTCTTCTAGTGTTGCGTCCAGTTGTTGTTGTTTCGCTCACCGTTTGTTGTCCCCTCTCGTTGTTCAGACTACACAGATCTGAATATGGGCACAGTGACACAGACTCAGGCCATCCCGTACACCGGACCCATCTCCCTGCTGGTCAGTCAGCTACGCAGCCTCGCAGGTTGGTCCTCACATCTCCCAGCTCACCTGAATGCACCTCACAGTTTATTCTGTCTGTTTCTTTACCTGAGAACATTTTTCATCTGTAAGAAAAAAAGTATAACCAGTTCAGGTCCAAAATGTTCCAGATAAAAAGGTTTTCTCATATTTAGTTTTTCACCTCCTAACATATGTCCAAGTTTGTTTGTTTTTTAAAAAACAAGATGATAACAGACAAAGACGGTATTCAAGTTAATAAAAAAATATAAAAGAGACAAAAAAAAGTTATCTGTATGTAATTAACTGTATTTATATATTAGCCTAAAATGAAGAAATTGTGGTTACAGTTGTAGTTTATCTGTATAAAAACCACAATTTATACAATCAAGTTAATTAAAAAAATGTGTCAGACCTTTATTAACTCTGTTTAAACTCTCCTGCAGTGTTTGCTTTGTACTTTGTGTCTGATCTTCTGTGTGTGTTGTTTTCAGGAGACGTGGAGCAGGTGGAGGGAGCAGAGAAGATCACCATCAAGATCTTTAAGAGCATCACTCTGGTTCATGAGGCCGGCATGGTGCTGCTGGAGGTCAGACACAGCAGATAAACTGTACAATGAACCCAAACAGTGAACACAATAACTGCAGGAAGTTCGTGTAAAACCAGAGATTTTGATACATTTTGAGCAGATTATTTCCTGTGAATATTAATCAGCGATTAGTTTTCCTGATATTTTTAGGTACTTTTAATACAATTCTCTGTATTGTGTATCCTTCATAGATACTTAATAGGCTTCATTTATTGACAGATTCTGTGTTTTTCTCATTCTATCAGTGCTTTGATTATTCAAACTTTTATTTAGGATGAGGCTGTTTATCAGATTCAGACTCAGGATTATTATTACTAAAAAATAACAATTTTATTTAGTTTTATTTACCAAAATGAGACAAATGCTTGGATATATATTAAGTTTTCTTACACACCTTTAAATCAATAAGGCCTTGTGACCCCTAGTTTGAGAACCACTGACTAAATAATGACCAAGAAAAGCAGGAAATCTTGAAACTAGAAAATATTTGACACTTGTGACTGAACAGATTAATTGATAATCAAAATTAGTTTAGTGTTTCAGTCTGAACCAAAGAGGCTGGACGTTTAAATATAACTAATATACTTTTTGTCCTCAGTGGATTGCCAACCCGCTCAACGACATGTACGCTGACGTCGTCACTACGGTGGTCCTGGAGGTCCAATCCAACCCCAACGCACAGAAATGTCAGTGAACAAAATGTGAGACTTTTTTAATCATCAGCAGAAACTTTGACTCCTTTAACGTTTGATGTTTGTTTGTTTCAGTTCTTGAAGGCAAGAAAGAAACATTCGACATGGAGCTGTTTGTGGAGAGACTGGGGCTCATGCTGCAGTAAGTGGACGTTTGTTTTACTCCGCCTGCAGTGCCAGTCGGGTGGAGTCTGACTGCAACAGCCAGCAGAAAGTTTTCTGTTCATAATTTATGTTTTGCTACATGAAGCCCCACCCGTCTGGCACTCTGCGCATCATAAGCAGCATATGCATTTGAAAAGTGAAAGGAAAGAAATGAAAGCTAAAGAAGGAAGTATCAGTAGAGATTTCAAAATAAGAGCTTTGTATGAAGAGATTTGTGTGAGCTGAGGCCTGTTAATGTAATGTAACAAATAATCTTGTGTGTTTTGCAGCGACATGTTTGGAGACGACGGCGTGAAGTTCAAAGATGATAAAAGCGTGAGTGTGACGGTGGACGGAGTCACTGCTGTCATCGACCCAGAAACCAGAGTGAGTACAACATCAGAGCAGAGTGAGACCTCCTGTTTGTATCTTCTGTCTCAATACGATCGCGATTCGATCACAAGACAGTCGATGTTTCTGAGTTTTATTTCAGTTTCGCTATACTGAATATAAAAAGTGGTAAAATAAACACTTTTGCTCCATTTAGCTGTTTCTGCTTTGCCTCCTTTGAGTTTTGACCCTCTGAGGCTCCTGTAGTTGGTCACTGTTGACGCTGTAGAGTAGCAGATAGTAAGCAATGCACACATCCTAATGCTACTTTCTGTTAGCGCATTACGGACAAAGAGCTATTTATTTAAATATAAAAAATAATTTCACGACTGCGTAACTCTACGGTGGCCTTTTATGGACATCACTACTATTATATTATTATAATGAATCCCATGAAGGGACTCAAACGGACGTGTTAGTCAGACATCCTGCAGTAACTGGTTAGTCCTTCGCTCAATACTGAGCTCATAAATATTTAAAAACACCTCACAAATATATAGTTTTGTTTAAAGAAAAGTTAAAGTTTAAAAAGTAGAGCACTTATTGGGGACTATTTTCAGTGGCGGATTAATACATATTTGGTGCTGTAAAGGATTCTGTAATAAACATCTCTGTGGCACAGTGGAAGAACATATATCTGGCTTTAATACACACAAAACTTGTTAGTAGATAAATATAAGAACAGAAGATAATTAAAAGACCCAGCAGCTCTGTGTGACCTCTTAACTGACCTCTGACCTCTGTCTGCAG